TTTAGGCCTATCTATGGCCTTCAACAAGTTGACGACTCTACATGTTTCGACGTTACAACGTCATCCTCGGAATAGGCCTAAATAAAATGTTTTTAATTGTGTACCAGTTTAACGTTAAATATTATTTATGATTTTTAACTTTATACATACTTTGTGAACAAGTATATTTACTACAACCTTTAAGATCCAAACTTCTGCAAAGAATGCGAGTAAAAATCGAATGATCAATGTGTAGCTTTGTGGTTAACAACAAACAAATAAACCAGATCGGGAGCTTAAAGGTTGTCTAACAACCGCTTCGTGAATTTTCTTCGAAAAATATTTTAACAGTGTTACAAAAAAAAACAGTCAAATTATTTCATAATTTATGTATTGTCGCCCTCAGAAGTTCGTTTTGGTAAGTCATCTGCAACGACAAAAACAAGCTTTCAATTAGAACATAACAGTAGTAAAATTATATGCAATTTAATTTTTTCCTAGCGGCATTAGTTTGTTACGACCCATCTAACATTTTGAAAAAAAAAAAATACAGCAGTTTTTTTTTTTACTTTTCATATCTTATGTTGTTAAAATTTTCAAGCAAATTTACTATTGTAGTTTTATAAATATAATTCAGGACATCGTTGGTCACGAAACCTTAAAAGAATACAAAACTACAGAGTACTGTGGGGCCTGGCATGGCCTGGTGGTTAGGGCGGTTGACTAACAATTTTAGGGTTACGGGATAGAAACCTTTCACGGAATACGTTCACTTTTTCACCCGTGAGAGCGTTATAATGATACAATCAATCCCACTATTCGTTGATAAAGAGTTGGCGATGGATGCTGTTATGTTGACTTGTTGTTTTGCCTCTAGTCTATCACTTCAAAATTAGGGACGACTAGCATAGATAAGTCCTCGAATAGGTTTCCGCGAAAATTCAACAAACAAATAAAGCACCCTTGTGGCAGGGCGCGTAATGCCATTCATTATATACATTACCCTTACGCAGCTTTGTATGTAATTAGTTTCAACATCACAGTTTTGACTTTCTTGATTCTCTGACAAAATTGCATTTGCTATAGAATATTTTACTGTGCTGCCAAATAAGCGCCTTCTTGGAACTGTAGAATGTTTAAAATAACTTTTGCTTTTAAGAACTAGCATGTAATATTTCTTTGAAGTAAAACCACAAAGACTATCTAATCGTGAAACTCTAACCAAATTTCACGATCATTATTAATATTATTATATGAAAACGTAAACTTCCTGGAAACGTAAAGAATAGGAATATCTTCTAACATTTGTGCGTTATGAAGGGGCCCGGCATAGCCAGGTGGTTAAGGCGCTCGACTCGTAATCTGAATCCCCGTCCCACCAAACATGCTCGCCATTTCAGCCGTGGGGGCGTTCTGGTGTTACGGCCAATCCCACTAGTCGTTGGTAAAAGAGTAGCCCAAAAGTTGGCGGTGACGACTAGCTGCCTTCCCTCTAGTCTTTCACTGCTAAATATGGATGGCTAGTGCAGATAGCCCTCGTGTAGCTCTGCGCGAAATTCAAAACAAATGTCTCCCGCTGGGATTACCGTAAGTCTACGGATTTACAATGCTAAAATCAGGGGTTCGATTCCCCTCGGCGGACACAGCAGATGGCCCGATGTGGCTTTGTTGGGAGAAAAACACACACACCCTCAAAACAAACAAACATCATTATGGATGTTGGAGCAAGCATGCGATTGTGATTTTATTTTTAAAACACGTTTTAAACACGCACGTTTGATATTTTAAATGACTTAAAGGTCAAGATTATTTTACAGTTTATACTGTACTACAACGTTCATTTTATGAAGCAAGAAATTCCATAATCTTACAGAAACAACAGCTCAAATTATTTTTAAAACTTTTATGCTCGTAGCAGAATGTAGCCAAACAATCGTACTAACTGTTAAGAATAGTTACGGATTTACGAGTGACAGGGCTAGACTTTGCTTAGTGTTGAATACGCTTTGCACCGTCAAATGTGGAGTCCGCCGGTGGGTCAGCAGAACTTTCCGGACTTAAAATACTACAAATCCGGGGTTCAATTTTCCGTGATGGATATAGCGCATATAGCCCATTGTGTTTAGAAACGAACAATCAGATATGAGAGCATTATAAGAGTGACCGTCAATCCCATTGTTCAGTTCAAATCTGGACAAAGCCTTTGTGGCAGTGGGTGCCACTGACCGGCTGCCTTCACTCAAGAAATTTGTTCAACATTAGGGACAGTTCATCTTAGACCGTTACAATTTATCCCTGAATCTTAGAGGTATGGAATTTTAGCAGGTTCTGGTTGAGGATGCTAAATACAAATGCGACTGATAGACAGTATATCGAAACGAAGCTTAATAGAACTTTGAAAAGTATTGAACGTTTTTCACATTAATATGCTTGTACATTTTACGTATCTAGTACATGGAGTATATTTCTACATTATTTGTTTCAAAAAAAGGCCACAATTGAAACACAAAACAAACACGCTTACACGAGAAAGAATAATTTGTTTGTTTGTAATTAAGCACAAAGTTACACGATGGGCTATCTGTGCTCTGCCCACCACGGGTATCGAAATCCGGATTCTGGCGTTGTAAGTCCGCGGGCATACCGCTCTGCCACTGGGGGTCCGAAAGAATAGAAAGAAAAATGTGTTTATTTAGTATTGAACAATAAAAGCTTTAATCTTAGTTAACAACGTTTCAATTTATCTGGTTCTACTTACGTGTTTCTAAAAATATATGTCCCCCAGTGGCTCAGCCGTAAATCTGTGAGCTTACGACGCTAAAAATCGGGTTTCGATAGTAAGTCCATTGTGTAGCTTTGTGGTTAACAACAACCAAACCAAACTAAAGAAATAATGACATTGTGCTATTTTATTGGTATGTTTATAACGAATAACTGAAACCTTCTTATTTCTAAAACATAACCTCAAAAAGAGACATTATGCTGAACTTACCGGCGATGAATACTCGGGCTGGTATTTGCTAGCGGTAGTGCTGAGAGGATTTAGCACTGCGCCCTCGGGGATTTCACGACTGGCTCCCGCTGGAGCCCCATCACCCCTGGTGGTTGAGAAATCTAGCAGGTTATTAGGTGTGGGGTTCATAACCTCGAGGGGTAGGGACTGAATTTGCGAGTTCTTGCGACGACTAAGAAGCCCTCCGTGCATGCTGCGGTCAAAGTTTTTATAGCAGCCCGTTCCTGTGTTAATTCGTTGAGATTCTTCTCCTATGCTAGTGGCGTCAACCTAGAGATGAGATACAGTAACTAAGATCACATCATCTTGTTAAACACAGCTACAGAACTTACGTATCGCAACTAAGCTATAAAATACTTCAATAAGTTCAAGACCTGAAAATTGACAGAACACACGAATCCAAAACTTTGAATAATGCAATAGGTACACAGATTTCAAGATGTTGAAAGTAAAATTTCGAAATTATTTCAGGAGTCCTAAAAGAGTTTATTTTAGCTTACATTAATATTATGTATAAAATTAGGCATTAGATTATAAAGAGACGTATGTTAATCTTAATACAAAAACAAACTATAACGTCTGACGAATGTATTCATCCCAGACAGTAGTTCCTTGTAGTAAGACGAAGGCTGATCTTTTAAAGCCACAACACGAAGAACAGTCAGCACATTAAATCTTTTAATTAATTTATAACGCTATGCCTGAATCACTTCTTCCACTTAATGAAGACAAAAAAACTTAAATTTCTACGTTTTTGTTCTATATGTTTAGTCTTAATCACAAAAACGTTAGGCGTTTTACACATGATCTTATTGAAAACGTTTGTGTGCAAAACTACCTTTAATATTCTGGGAGAAACGTAAAAGAATCTCTTTGACTGAAAATGTATTCTAACATTAGGTCCAAAAGTACGGAATAAACCAAACCGAATGGTTAAAGTATACAAACAATATGACAAAATATATGAAGTGTTTTAAGAGGATTAAGATAATTTGTGCAAATTGTGTAGAGCTGGATTTAATAACACATATCAGCAGCGTTTCCCTCTCCGGCATAAGTACAGAAGAAAAGATATTCCTAAACATGCTTAATTAAATCCAACAGTAACATTGTCGTTATTAAACCAGAAAAAGGAAACGACGTGCTTATTTGGAATAAAGAAGACTACGCCAATAAAGTAACACAGTAACATTACTACGTTTTATAAACTATCGAAAGACCCTACTACTTCAAGAGAAAACAAACTGATTAAATTCTTGCTAATTTGAAGAAAACTCATTCCCTGAATAACAATACATATAATGACATTAGACCAATCAGTTTCCACACAGGGCACACTTTAGGGGCTACCTGTGATTCAGAAATCTGAGTATCTTATTAGACCTATTGTTTCTAAAATAGGTTGTTTTAATTATAAACTTTCCAAGTTCTTATGTTAATTTCTAACTAATTTTACTTTTAATAGTCAGACAGTGAAAGACAGTTTTGATTTTTCTAGTAACATTAGAAACTTGAAGTTTGATGAAGATATTTATTTATTTAGTGAGTTTAGATATTGAGTATCTGTTCACTAACCATCCCCTAGATGGCACTATTAACCTTGTTTGTTTGTTTGTAATTAAGCACAAAGCTACACAATGGGCTAGCTGTGCTCTGCCCACCACGGGTGTCGAAACCCGGATTCTAGCGTTGTAAGTCCGCAGACATACCGCTGTGCCACTGGCGGGCTTTTAACCTTGTTTTTAAAGACACGAATGTGTTAATGGACGAAGTAGGCAATCTTTCACACAACTAATGGAATTTGCCACGAAAAACTCTTTGTTTCAGTTTAATGGTGAATTTCATGAAGAGATTAATGGAGTCAGTAATGGTGGCTAGCTTAGCGCCTGTAATAGCTAACGTTTTATTGAAAATAAATACTTGGCTGATGGATTGTCCTACTGAGTTCAAACCGCTTACGTACAATCGCTATGTTGATGACATATTTTTAATACTCAAAAATGTTGACAAATTAGTGAAATTTGTAGAACATTTGACTTCTAAACATGTTAACATTAAGTTCACCTGTGAACGCCTACAGTACTCTGCTCCACATTTTCTTTATACATGTTTTCATCAATCAAGGACGTTTTCATGTCGGTTGTTATCAGAAACTCAACTCCACCGGACTATACACCAACTTTGAGAGTTTTGTTCCAATTCATTTCAAACAAAGCCTTGTGAAACGTCGAATTATTAGTTTCTGTGAACTTTTACAGCAAAAATGACTGAGACCAAAATCCATTTTAAAACTTAACTCTATCTGGAACAACTTTAGCCATTCTGTCATCAATACAACCGTTCAAAAACTATATCTATTTAGGTCACTGAACTATGACGTCTTAAAGATACAAGTAATGATCCCTTTGCCATATACAGGCTCACGCTCACGAATCTTGATGAAAAGATTAAATGCCATAATCAACAGAGTCTGTATAAAACTGCACTGTCAAAGTGTGTTTAGACCTCTACTGAGAATTCTGAATTTTTTCAAGTTTAACGGTCGAATCCAGGTTTCTCAACAGCCACGTGTCATTTATGAATTTTGCTACTCAACGTGTGGGGGGCACTTACATCGGTTCGACTGTCAGAAAACTGGGAGACCATTTAAAAGAAAAAGTTAATCTTAGGTTTAAGAATAGTTCAAGCATTGTTAGGCAGGCATTGAGTAAATGTGATGTGCTCCCATCTCCCACTATGTTCAAAGAATCGGTAAAGCCAAAAACGAGACTATGATACTGGTGAAGGACGCCCTTCTAACTCTTCCAAAGAAGCTGAAATTAAACAATCAGCAAAGCGCTACTGAACTATTATTCGCAGTGTAAGTAATATAATTTTATTTAAACTTTCACGCTATGCTGTGTAATCTTGACTTTCGTATCTGAGGAAGGACAGTAAACTGGTCGAAAGCCAGGATGAATTATATGTGTTTAGACCTCTTGTTTTGCGCCTAGCCGTCCCTAATTTTGAACTGGTAGACTAGAGAGAAGGCAGCTAGGGTAATACCATATCTTTGGACGTTTTGAACTTATGAACCTATTATGGTTTGGTTAAATGATATTTCAAACAATAAGATAAAGCTTCAGGTCAAGTTGACGAAGATCGGGTGTAGCCTAGTGGTTAGCTTCCCAGTAGTGTGAATCCGAGGATTCAAGGCTCACAATTCGTTGCCACTTACGCTATGAGAATAAAGATTTCACTCCACTATTTAACCACACAAGAGTAACCCAAGAGTTAATGGTGGATGCTATTGACGAGGCTTAAGATTTTAGTGTCTTTATTACTAAATCATTGAAATACGACCACAACACTTGTGTTTTGTTTGTAAATTAAAGGTGTACTAAGGTTTTATTCTGCTTGAAACTCTATAATCGTATTTAGTATTTTATCTGAATACCTATATATGTTTTGCATCAACCCGTAAGTGCTCTCAACCATTTATAAATCTATTCATTTGACTAAAAATTACTATATACTGACCACAAACGTTTTAAACTAAATTTCAATCAGTAAAGCGCGCTGATTTCATGGAGTTTTAGACTTTTACAAAAAATAACAACAATAAATATTTGTTTTTTTGAAAGCCCATATTATTGTTTCTTAAAAGCATTAACATAAACGTCATTTTATGTTATTTTGACATTAACAGTCATCATATTAAAACCAAAAAGATGTGGATTAAATTCCAGTTAGTGCATATAATTTAATGAAGGAGTTTTTATATCGATGAACAGTGTGCTATAACTCATGGTAAATCACATAAACAATATTTGTGCACCGAGTGTCGAAGTTTCCATTTATAACAATAAAACGTAACAGCTAGTACACTGAAAACTGGTAGAGTAAAAAAAAAGCAGAGGTGCTAAAACAATAGATATATGTCAAATATATTATTTCAATTTACTTCATCAAAATAACGCTTGAAAATGTTTCCGTGTTATCAGTCAATAACACAAAATGTGAATGTGACAGAAAAGAGTTAATAAAATTTTTTCATAAAATAATTATTTCCTGTTTTTTAATTTATGGGCATAACTCTATAGTGTACACTGGAAATATGATATTGATTAGGTTTAATGTTCAGTAAGAAACCCAATGAACTGAATAATTATTTCAAAAATACAGTAACTGCAACTTTTAATGATTACATTGTTTTAATGTAACTTACCAGATGACGACTCGATACTATGGGTCGAAACGTTGCAACCATTCAAATCAGAACTAGCCTGCTGGAAAATGTTGCTGTTATTTTATTTCTTAATTAATGATTAAATTTAATGTTATGCGATCGTTTTGAGTCCAAAAGAAAGTTTGTGAAATTTTGTGTCCCTTTGACATAACTCTTGAATAAACGTATATTTCTGTTGTGTTCCAAGCTCTGCTAACCTTCGCTGACCAAAAACGAATAGGAAGCTTCTAATTAAACAGTAGGGTCAATAGATAACCAAAACACGTACAAGCTTCCACAAAGAAAATACTACAATCCTTGAAACTCTTCTGTTTCTTTCTCTTCTTTATTATTTTCCACAAGTAACTCATCACAGCTATATTCTACAGGGAACAGTATCTCATCACAGCTATACTCTACATGGAACAGTATCTCATCACAGCTATACTCTACATGGCACAGTAACTCATCACAGCTATAATCTACATGGAACAGTAACTCATCACAGCTATAATCTACAGGGAACATTAACTTATCCCAGGTATACTCTACATGGAACAGTAATTCATCACAGCTATACTCTAAAGGGGACAGTAACTTATCCTAGGTATACTCTACATGGAACAGTAACTCATCACAGCTATAATCTACAGGGAACAGTAACTTATCCCAGGTATACTCTAAATGGAACAGTAACTCATCACAGCTATACTCTAAAGGGGACAGTAACTTATCCTAGGTATACTCTACATGGAACAGTAACTCATCACAGCTATAATCTAAAGGGGACAGTAACTTATCCCAGGTATACTCTACATGGAACAGTAACTCATCACAGCTATACTCTAAAGGGGACAGTAACTTATCCCAGGTATACTCTACATGGAACAGTAACTCATCACAGCTATACTCTAAAGGGGACAGTAACTTATCCTAGGTATACTCTACATGGAACAGTAACTCATCACAGCTATAATCTACAGGGAACAGTAACTTATCCCAGGTATACTCTAAATGGAACAGTAACTCATCACAGCTATACTCTAAAGGGGACAGTAACTTA